TTTTTTGGCTCTTCCACAAGTCGTCTGATTTGTATCTCTGGGTGGCTAGGTGGGTGAGCTACTGAAGCAGCTGAACACCGGTGGGCGGGGACCAGCGAATATCGCAGTGCAACGGGTAGAGCGCGTGCACAACCCCGTGCTGTGGGAGCGCTACAGCGCCAAGCGACGAGAGATGTTGCATCGTATCAAAAATCAAGTGCACTATGATCAGCTCCAAACGGCCACATCGGATGCGCCCTCGGGCTCTCCAGCTCTGCTTTGCGATACATCCTGTCAAGAGCGCCTGTTGCTCCACGGCATCGCCCCTGACACAATGCTACGCGACAAGATTGTGCGCCTGGGCCTTGACTATCGCTTTGCCGGCAACAGTGCCGGCCACCGATTTGGTCTCGGTGTTTACTTGGCGGACCATCCCGGCAAGGTAGGGCAGCGCTGGCTGTCAATCTCACCTGTCTACCCAAGTGCTGTGGTGCTGACGCAATGTGCTTGCATGATTTCAGAGTCATCAGTATGCCGGTGCCGGACCCAACGGCGAACGAATGCTCGTCATCACGCGAGCCCTGCTGGGTCATGCCTTTGTCCACCCATCACCTCCTTCTGGGGCGCTGGCACCACCGCTCCTGCCAAATGCGCCCAACAACGAGCGGTGCGTTGGGCAAAATCGACCATCTGTTGCATGTTGTCTCTGTCCGCCTCCTGATCTTACTTGTTGCGTTTGCCATTGAATTTTCTGCAGGTATGACTCGGTTGTCGCGACACCCTCTGGGGAATTCCATGAGGTGATTTTGTTTGAGAATGCCCAAATCTATCCGGAGCTGGTCGTATACTACACGGCCAATTAGGATGAGCTGGACTAGGTGCTAGTTTGTTGTGAGCGGCAAATCCTTTGTTCAGTTGCTTTTCCACACAATCTGCGTTATCGATGAGGGGTCTTCCCACAGGAACCCCTATGGAGCTGGTGCGACTTCATCCCCTGACTAACATACACACCGAGACATACTGAGGCGTGCCCTCCCTCTAGGGGGCACATGCGTCGACCCGTGTGCTTCGTGTACTTTGCAATGTCTTGGCAGCCAGCCTTGTCTGATAAGCTTGTGTTCACTGTTGTTCGTTGTTATCTGTTTGTTGTGACACCTCTGGCTGGCACGGGTTGCACTTTCCCTGAGCGTCTCTACAGCCATTCCAATGGAGCATCTGGTCTGGTCTGGTCACTGTGAATGCTTGCAGACCGCAGCTGGTTCAATTGACCTCGAGACACCGCCAATTCTCTTGTTTCGTCTCGAAGGACGTCTTTCGAACCTCTTTCAAAAGGGCTCCTCAACACGACCCGCTTCCTTCAAACCCAACACTGGCCTTTGACATGCTGTGGAGCCTGACAGCTGGCTGTCCCTGAATGAACGGCATACCTTTCCATACTTGGATCGAAAGATCAGTATGCTAATCTTCATGTTTTTGCTGCTGGGCAAGCCTCTGGAGCACAGGCTGAGCAGCTGTCTGGAGAAGCGGGGCAGGCTGGACACGCCCGACGACTATACTGCATTTCGTCGGCAAACGACCACGTGCCTGTATCGGCCAACGCTTGGGGTACGCCGCGACCCTTTGGATGTCGACCTTTGTGATTCATCGACTCTTGGCCGAGTCAACCAGCGCTCTTGGCAGCCTAATCCACAATCAAGCTCGGCAAGCTGGAGACACAGCCGAGCAAATGACCGTGTGCAAACCAAGGTGTCGTCTCAACTGATGCATCGAGTAGACTCGCATCAATGGCATGCTTTGTTTGGACGAGATGGCAAAGCGCAGTATGGCCGAGTTGACAGCAGCCCGAGAAGCATTGGAAGTTTGCTATATTCCATCAGTTGGAACCCGGTGACTGACCTCTAGCCCGAGGCAAATCCTGTTGTTGTTATTGTTGTTGTTGTTGTTGACGTGTGGTGTTTGTGTGCAGGTGTGCGAGGCGACGAGCGATTTGTACAAGGAATCATGGGCCTGCTTGCAACAAATCTCAAGCAGCGCCCAACTCTCTTCAGCGCCGGGCAGAGTGTGCAACGCCCAAGTTGTCGGGCCAGTCATTGACGTTTTGTGCGACGCACCCGAGCTCGTGTCAGAGGTGTTGCTTGCTGATATAGTTACGATTATATTCTTTTTATTTTGACAAGCCGTGTGGTTTGAATCTATTGTGTGGCTAGGTGGCTGAACCGCAGCAGCAGCTGAGTGCTGACGGGCTAGGACCAGGTAACGCTGCAGGGCAGCGGGTGGCGCGTGTGCAAAAACCCGTGCGGTGGGAGCGCCACAACACCAAGCGACGGGAGATCCTGCACCGCCTCACAAGATAGGAGCACTATAATCGACTTGTAACCACCACCTCGGACGCGCTCTCGGGCTGTCCAACTTTTCTTCGAGATACATCTTGTCAAGAGCGTTTGCTGCTTCATGCCCGAGCGATTTCTGCTGGACAAGATTGTGCGCTTTGGCCTCGATCATCGCTCTGCCGGCAGCCGCGCGGGCTTTCACAAATTATGTTCTTGGCGTTTACTTGGCCGACCATGCTGGCAAGGTGGGGTTAGAAATTGCGATTGATTTGATCGGAATGCGCTGCTGTTATGATGTCGGATGCGCTTTTGTGTATGACTTTAGAGATCATCAGTACACCTATGGTGGACTCGATGGCGAGCGCATGCTCGTTGTTATGTGAGTTTTGTTGGGCCATGCCTATGTCTATCAGTCGCCTCCCTGTGGAGCACTGGTCCCACCGCTCTTGCCAGACGCGCCCGACAATGAGCGGTGCGTTGAACAGACCCGACTTTGGCACGTTGCATGTTGGTTCTGAGCCGCGAGTACCTCTGGCTGGCTGTTGACTTGATATGTGCTTTTGCTACTGACATGACTCGGGCATCGCGACACGGCGTGGCGAATTTCACTAGGTGCTCATCTACGACGATACCCAAATCTGTGGTGTACTACACGGCCCATTAGGATGTTCGTGCCATGTGCTGTTTGTTGGCTTCACCTTCCTCGTCCCTGTCTGCTTGTGCTTGTCACCAGTCATGCAAGCACGCGCAAAGCCATGAATTGACCTGCACACAAATTTCAGTGGCGGTGGGGATCGGGCCGTTATCTGGCCACAGGCTCCAAGTACGTGTACTTCTCGCCGAAATAGCAACTTGGCAACCCGCTTCAGTCTTGCGTCAAGCTGACAAATGTTGTGTGGTGCGCCGTGCACTTCTGCTGGCAGGGATAGCCGGGTCCTCATCTGGACCACTGACTCGTACCAACAACTGCATGAGCTGCACGGTCACAGTGATGGTGGGTGCAGCATCGGTCTTCCTCTGGCCGCTCGCCATGATGGAGCCATGGACTCATCCACTCTTTTGGGCCATTTCTGGTACATAATATTGTAGGTGTATCAGGACTAGCATGGCACCCCAAAGAGGCCATGTTGGCTTTTCATTCGGAAGTAAGCGAGATGGACAAGGCCATCCGCGTGTCTCTGCGTGTCTGTGTCTGTGTCTGTGTCTGTGTCTGTGTCTGTGTCTGTGTCTGTGTCTGTGTCTGTGTCTGTGTCTGTGTGTCTATGTCTGTGTGTCTGTGTGTCTATGTCTGTGTGTCTGTGTGTCTGTGTGTGTGTCTACGTATGTGTCTGCATCTCTCTCCGTGAGTCCCTCTTGTGTCTGTGTCCGTGTACCTCTCTGTATCTCTCTGTGAGACTCTCTGTGAGTCGCTCTGTGCCACTGCCGCCACTGTGCCGCTGTGTTGTTGGGTTCACACACACACGGAGTGACCTCTTGTAATTTTGAAAATCCGGTATTTTCAATCTGGCCGTGCTACAAGCGGCAGTACAAAAGGGATTAATTCTGGGGTCTATATCGAGCTGTATGTCTCATTTTATGACCAGTCTACTCAATTTTTGAAGCTGCATCGAATGTTGCCGATTTTATTGTTGTAGCATGCGGCCTTTTGGTTATACATGTGTGCAGATTGGTGAACTGAGCATGCCGAGCTTGACTGCTGCATGGAGAAGATGTAGCTGGGCTATCAGCCAACGGGATGAGAACATGGCCCGATACCGCGCTCAACCGTCTCATTGGGCATGATCTGTTGGATATACTTTGCTTTGACAATTGTCGGGACGGAAACAGTCATGATCAAGTCGCGAAACAACAAATTTAGCGATTGGAGGCTTCACAACAGGGGGCCTGGCGAAAAGCAGCGGGACGTGCCAACAAATCACCACCACACTGCTGTCTTGTACTGCTGGAATGATACAGGACATGTCTTGAAGATGTCCTCAATCTCGCCTGCATTTATGCAGCTTGCCTCGTAAAGACTGATGCTCGTCAAGGGGGGGCTCTCTTCTGGGTCGTGCCAGGATCGGACCCAAAAAATCAAATTCCTTTGCACTTGTGTAATCTTGGGCAGGCTCATCTTCTTCAGTGGGTAGTGGGGGATGAAGTGCATGTAAATTTGAGGAACCAGCTGCTTCACTCGAGGCTAGATGGCTGGCTGTCGCTGGATGTACTTCCGGGCTTGTGTCCGGCGAGGCAGCAGTCATGTTGACGCCATCCTCGTCGCCAAAACGCCGAGGCATTGAAGTCTGGTCCTCTGCCTCGTCTGTGATGTGTCATGCTCATTGGCTCGAGTACTCAAGCCGTTTTGAACTTTTTCTGACCGAGAAAGACCTGTTGCTTGCCTCAAACGCTCGATCAGCCTGGCCTTATTGCCAAACACGCAAAGGCCTAGGCGACGACAAGCACCTCGAAGGCCCACGAGGGTAAGTGTATCAGTATTCAGAGCTTGCATCCAATCCTTGTGTTCGTTCATTGCTTTTGCTCGCGCGGGCTCGCTGTCGCGCCGGAAGAGGTGTTGAAGTGACGCCGGAGCAATCGAGCGAGAGAGTCGCCCTCACCCAAGAGGCCTTGTGGCCCACGAACCGGAACGCGTCGCTGACTGTGTCGTACTGCTACATGAGTAAGACTCTAAACAAACATGGCCTGCAGCGATGCAAAATGCTCTCGTGCTGCAACCTTGATTGCATTTTTGTTGGCCAAGGCACGAGCGGTACGCGGGCTAGTGTTTGCGGAGGCCGGCTGAGCGGGGGAAATATCGGACTGGTGCGCTTGAGTTGCCCTTCCAGGTGCAGGACTGGGCAGCGCAGAGCCGGGTGTTGAGGGAGGTGTGTTCAGCATATGATCGATGTCTCTGGATTCAGCTGATATGCCAGCATGTCGAAAGGCTCTAGCCATTCAATCCGGCCCTTGACGCTGTGCGTGAATGGCGACGTAAAGGACGTGAATCTCGTCGCCCACCGTCAACGAGCTGCGGGCTTACTCCGTCAACGAGCTGACTCAAGTGAGCCCGCAGCTCGTCTTGCGCCCTTGCACTAACCAGATCAAGACCAAATTCCTCCTCGAGTTGATAAAACCATTGCTCTTGCAGCACAGACGAAACCAGTCCAACACCGGCTTGGGCGTCTGCCGCACGTCGACGAAATGCACACTTACGGTGACTGAGTGGTCGGTAAGCTGCGTATCGAGAATCGGTTCTCTTGCGCACGATACTCCTCTCCCACGGCAAGCAGCTCGTTCATCAGCTGTATGCCATCATTGCGCGTACGGGAGCGATTCATGCGGCTCGTTGATCAATATACTCTGCTCTCAAAGCTTGCTCCTCCCGAGTGCAGAGTGCTCGAGCGTCATGGGCCGTGTCTTGTTGGTATCCGTTGCGAGTACGCGCGGTCTGAATTTCATTTGGGGTCGCATCGTACGCAGTTCAGAACAGGGCCGGTGAGGATGGACGACGGCAACGGCCGCTACCGGAAAAAAGCTTCAAGCGAAACGAAGCATGATCGAAAACAGGTTGGCCTTTAACAGCTCCTGTGTAGAACCTTGGTTCATCATCCTGAAACACACGGCCCGCCATGTGATGATGGGCAGCAACAGCCGCGTCGGCTCGCTGTCGTCGTTCGTGTTGATTTTTCTAACATGGAAAAAGCTTATGATGAGCAACGAGAATCCGCGG